CTTTGGGCCAGAAGAAGCATGGAGTACGCGTTTAAGTTTTATGTTGTTAAATGTTTTAAAAAATGTTGTTTAAGTTTCATGTTGTTTACTGTTTTTTTTTATGTTGGTTAATGTTATTTAATGTTTTTTCACATTGTTTAATGTTGTTTCATGTTACTTAATTTAATTTAATGTTGTACAATGACTTAAGAAGTTATAGGAAAAAAAAGAGAATTTAAAAAAAAATATGAAACAAATTTTGTAAAATAAAAGTTATAGGAAAAAAATGGAATTTAAAAAAAATATGAAACAAATTTTGTAAAATAGAAGTTATAGGAAAAAAATGGAATTTAAAAAAAATATGAAACAAATTTTGTAAAATAGAGATTATAAAAAAAAAAAGAATTAAAAAATAGAAGTTATAGGAAAAAAAATTTGTAAATAAAAAAAAAACTGTAAAAAAAAAATTCAAAAATAACAGTTAGTTGACGTCAGCTAGCCGTTAGATTAAAAAATTTGTTTAAGAATTCCTATCAGATATAACCGACAAGATTAATAACAATGTTGTCGGATACTATCGGATATAACCGACAAGAATAATAACAATGTTGTCGGTTATATCCGACAACAATTCTTAAATTTCTGGCTAGCCCCGAGCAAGCTGGCTAGCTGGATTGGGTCAGCCCTTGGGCCCTTTTAGATTCTATGGGGCCCACGAGCCCTCCGGCCTGGCCCTCGGTTGGAGGCGATTTTCAGGCTATTTTCGGTCCTCTGGACCATTTGGTTGGAGATGACCTTAATAGAGGAGAAATGAAATCTTATGGGTGGAGCTTGAATTATTTAAGGTGTTTGGTATCTATACCACCCACTCTCAAATCCATCAAAATCCATCATTCACTAAAATCCTTGCAAATCTTTGATATAATTTTTCATTGCACCTGGACTCTTGTGGACTTTTTAAAATCATAATCGACTACCTATGAATTTGGATGTATTCTTTAAAATCATTTAAAATATTAATTTGACTATACATGGATTTCAAAATCTTTTAAAATCTAATTGACTAAACCCGGATTTTAAAGTCTTATTAAAATACTATCAAGTCCTATCAAATCCAAATTTGACTACACCTTCCTAAGAGTATCTTCAAAGGAGATGTCAAATATAATATGTCAAAATTTTATTTGATGACTGATGTGGCAAATTGAATACAAGTACTAAATCCTTTTTTTTTCGAATGCATGTGTCAAATATTTATTTTATTATTTTATTGGGCCTAGTGTTATATTAACTATTAAAAAAATAATCAAAATTAGTTTTAGTTTTTATTCTATTGGTTGTTAACATGACTCTGCATTAAAAATTTAAATTAAATTATTTGACTCTTTCTTTGTTTGATGTAAAAAAATGGCAACTAGAGAGTAAGGAGTCAAATGACTCATATGCCACATAATATATGACATATCCATTGGAGAACACTTGAATGTCTTTTTATCCTATTTGACATATTTGACATCTCCTTTGAAGATGGTCTAACGTTCTTTTTGATACAATGTCATGTCCCGATTTCAAGATAGGTCTAGGATTGACACATAATTTTAAGACGTAACTGTATAACTTATACAACCAAAACACTTAAAACATAATTTACATATTGGTAAGGTCTATCCCACTTACATACAATGCAAAAAGTCTGCAAACTATGACAGTAAGGTAAAAGGTTAACCTAACCACTCCAAGCGCTCAATTTCTCAGGGAGTAGGATTCTCTCTCCTCTTTTTTTCTCTTCCCTTCTCTCGCCTTCTCTCCCTCCTATTTGAATGGTCACGGTTAAACCACGTCAACATCTTATATTAATTTTTTATAGAATGAGAAAGACAAAATAGATAATGTGAGAGGAGGAGATGAAAGGGGTTGGGAAGAGGATGAGAGAGAATCCTAATTCATTTCCTAGCATTGCTACTCAAGACACCTTGTACATATCAACATTTATGAACCTTCAAAATGGCTCTCTACACAGTGGTAATAGTACATCGCAAAAAACAAAAACCCAAATAAGCTATAAAGATGGTGTGAATGATAGTAAACGCATGTGATTGAAAAGTCAATTGATCTCATTTATAAAACATGGACAATCCCTTGCATATATAAAATATCTTAACTCACAAAATTAATTGAAGAATCCTTACAGACAATCAACCAGCTTTCCTTTCATACATACATTAAAATAATAGGAGCAACACACTCGCAAACATTCTACATTCGAGATCTCATGAAATCAAATAGATCAAATACACAAGAACTAACATAAATCATAATGTTTCGCCTTCCAGACGCACTCATGGAATTAGATAGAATTGACATACAAGATAAGAAGTAGGATTCCAGACTCACTCTATAGAATCCATAAGATGAACGTTCTAGACGCATCCAATAGAATCGCATAATGCATCTAAACACACTCGGAACCTAACAAAATGTAAGGTTCCAGATGAACCCGATGGAATTGTACAGAATGTAGAGATCTAGACACACTTAGACTTAACAAAATGTAAAGATCCAGACGCACTTAGTGGCATCCATACATTGAGTATTAGTAGGATTCCAGACGCACTCATGAAATTAGAGTGAAAGATAATATGCTAGGGATTTAATATCCATCTATGAAATCAAGGGCTGAGCTTGTTGCAACTTTTCCCAAAGCGACGGTGTTTAGGTGCCTCCTTAGCCCCATCTGCTTCCCATTTGTTTTGGTTTTTTTGTTCTCCTTGCATGGGCTTGTGTTGGCGGTCGACATCTGTTGGCTTTTCTTTGGTGTGACGGTTTTGTTGCATGTTCAATTGTTTTGCGCTGTTATACCTTCATCGAATTTAATGCATAGTTGATTTTATTCGGGTGGCTACCTTTGTGGTTGTGAACAAGGTGATGGCGACGCCAATGGTCGGCTTTTGCGAGTTGAAGATTAGGATTTTTTTTCTCTACCTTTTTGTTGAATGGGCTTTAGTTATCCCCACCTTATTGGGCTTGTTTAATGTAATTGTATTAGACATTTTTCATTCAATAAAATTTCTTATTTTTCGACAAAAGAAGAAGAAAAAGCTTGGCTTATAGCAGAAGTCACTCTTTATTCTAGATTTAGACACATTTCTTCCTTTCCTTTTTATTTATTTATTTTTATTTTTTATTTATTTTATTTATTTATTTTTGAGATAATTTGTTTCAAACTTGTTATTTATGAGAGCAAAAGTTAAGATCATTTAATTATTAATAAGAAAAATATCATTAAACTGTAATACTAAATGGCAAAGATATGTTTAACTGTGAGTAGGTAAATAAAAATGACTGTTTACAAAGTAAGACATATATTTTTTTTCTTTGAGAAATAGTTGGTTTTTCTTTTAAAAGGAAAATAAATAGTTGGTTGTTGGGCATCAAATTTTCATGGGTAAAATACAAAAAACTACCTCAACTATTGGTGTCATGACACTTTCATACCTCATCTTTTAAAATTGAAAATGTCATACCTCATCTTATGAATTTGTGCCAATGTCAGACCTCCGTCATTTTTTCTGTTAAATGTTGACGTGGCCAGATACGGGACCCATTTTTTATTAAAAAATTAATTAAATATTTTAAAAATTAATTAAATATTAAAAATTAAAAAAAAAAAACCCATCAACCCGTGTCCCCCCTCCCCAAAAACCTAGATCCCCTTATCTGAGTTCTCTCCCACCCAACCCTCTCTCTCTCCTCTCTCTCTCTCTCTCTTCTCTCTCCCTGCAACATGCATCCCTAAAATCCCAAAACCCAAAAATCTTTCCCACCCGTCCCCCCCCCAACCTTTCTCTCCGATCCCACCGATGAGAACCCTACCTCTGTCATTGACTCTAGCAATGACAGCCACGACCCCCAATCGCCCCCAAACCCTGACTCTAGCCACAACCTCCACAACAACATTCCCTTCTCCTCTTCGCCCCCAGAGTTTTCCCTCCGGCGATTTGCGAGAGAAAAACAAAACAATAATAACAACAACAACAATCCCAATAGAAAAACTCTCTGTTTTTCCTAGAAAATTCCCAGATTTTCCGAGAAAATCAGAGGAGGTGCGAGAAATAGAGAGAGAGAGAGTTGTGATCTGAGAGTGGCTCTCTTTGGTATGAGTTTCCAATAAATGGTGTATATAGGCGGGTCGGATGAGGAAAAGAGAATGGAGGTGAAGTCCATCGCGATGGGTTTTGAGAGGGCGAAGCCTTTGCACAATTTCAACTTGACTTGGTATTTGAAGTGGGGGAACCAGAAGCACCTGTGGTGCCAGAAGGAGAGCTCTAACGCCAGCGGGAGTGGCGGAGGTGGTTAATCGCGATCGTCGGCTCAAAGGATTGAGAGCTCGCCGACGGTGATCACTCAGGTGGGAATGGTTTATGGGTTTTGGGATTTTAGGGATGCAGGTTGCAGGGAAAGAGAAGAGAGATAGGCGAAAGATGAGATAGAGGGTTGGGTGGGGGATAACTCAGAGAAGGGGATCTGGGTTTTTGGGGGGGGGGGGGCACACGGGTTGATTGGTTTTTTTTTTGGTTTATTGTTTTTTTTTTTAATTTTTTAATATTTAATTATTGTTTTAATAAAAATGGATCCCGTTTCTAGCCACGTTAGCATTTAACAGAAAAAGTAACAGAAAAACTGACATTGGCACAAATTCGTAAGATGAGATATGACATTATCAATTTTAAAAAATAAGATATGAAAATATCATGACACCAAGGTAGTTTTTTGTACTTTACCCAATTTTTATTTTTTTTGAACACCACCATGGCACCGGAAAATTTTTAGGTGTACCGGGTACACCAAATTTTTTTGGTGTACCCTCACTCATTAGAATTTTTTTGGTGTACAAAAAGTGAGGGTGCACCAAATTTTTTTGGTGTACCCTCACCATTATGAGTGAGGGTACACCAAAAAAATTTGGTGTGCCGGGTACACCGAAAAATTACTCTATGGCACCATCCATTGGTGTATCCAGAATGGGTCCTGATGTAAGGGATCCAAGGATTTTTAAATGCGTCGCAAATGGTGTCGCTGATAATAATATAGCGCCTAAATGTTGTTTTAAGTTTTCAATTAGGCGCTTTATTTTTCAGACGAAAAAGAACGTGCGCGCCTTTCATTCTTCTCTCCCTCCACCTTCTCATCTTTCATATTCGACTGAAAAATGAGAGCCCTAATCCATCCAATCAGAGATTTTGGGAGAATCATCGGAAATTATGGACCACAATCGGAGATCCTGAAGCGCAATCGAAAATTTCGTAAGGCACTAGAATCATCTTCTCTCTTTTCTTATTCAATAACAACATAAGTGATTTCTAGGATTTTCTTTTTGAATTGATTTTTCTGCACTCCGCTAGCGATTAAAGCTTAGAGTTTTACGCTAGCAGCAGATAGATGTTGGCGGAGAATCGCAGCGGCGGTGCCAACAATATTGGTGGCGATAAGGAAGAGGAGCAGGAGCTCTCGTTTTTAACCGTGCCCAGTTGTTAGTTTTGCTATTTTTGCCATATTTTTTGGTTAATTTTGGCAAACTTTGTCTAAATTTGAATTGTGTAATTCCTGAAAAGTTTAATATACTCGGATAAACTTGTGAAAATTAGCACTTTGAAAGCCCGTTTGATCAAGTCGTTAATATGAGTATTTGAAATGTATCAGTTGCACCTGCACATAATTTTAGTAATTAGTTCATGGGAATGGAATTGCCTAATAGGTTAAGACATGGGTTTCTCATGGATTGCCTATTAGATGCTGTTTGAAAACTGAATTGTCGAAACTTGAAAGTTTTGAATCACCTTTTAGCATATTATTAGGAGTTGAACTCTAAGTTCTTGATCATGTGATCCTCTATGTTCGGTTGATGAAACGAGCTCGCAAGAATTTGAGGCCAGTTACCGGCCAAAGCCTGATTTGCTAAAAGCTATTGCAGTATTTGCAGCAGCTGGAACTGGGTAGTGGCAATTAACCAATCCTGGGTTGCTGCCAATTAGATAACATTTTATTTCCAGCATGGTTGTTGAAAAGTGCCTTTCCCATGATTTCGTAAGTACTTCTTCAGCATATAATTGTACACATTTAAAAAGGATGCTTTGTTACAACGCTAAGTTGATGAGACAAACTCATGATACAGGAGTTGCCTTGGCACTGCGGTTTGGAATAGGATGCGTGGGCATCATTTTTGAAGAATCGCTGGCCATGAACAAAAGTGGAGTAGGTTTGTTAATGGTTGTCTACATTTGTTTGTGATGCAGGGTGGATGAGCTTAAAATCTTGACCGAGGAATATTTAGTCGATATGGCTATCAAGGAAGCATTTAAGGTGCACTTGTACTCTCCCACTTGTGCATAGTTCTTTCTTTGTGATTTGAAGAAGCTTTGATAACTCATACATTGTGTTTATGGGTATCAAAATGATTCTTAAACATTAGATATGAAACTAAATTAACGTGTGTAAAAGTTATGGAATACCCGAGCATTGTTGGGTTTGTTGGGTCACCAGCAACTCTAAATATATGTTATGGAATGCAACTTCACATGGTAGTTTATACAATTAGTTTTTAGAGTAAGACCAATGATAAATTGAAGAAAGATATACAAACATTACTTAAATATTACACGTTTTGCTTTTTATGACGCAAATGTACTAATTAAGTTTACACAATCTAATCAACCAATTCTTTTTGTAATTCATAAAATAGCTTACTCATTCAATAGTTCTTGTGACATAGTTGATTGAAGAAAAGATTTGATCAACGTTAATTTTGAAAAACTTCTTTTTGCAGAGGCAATGGTAACTGGTATGGTTAACAAAATTCTATAAGCAAATAATCAATGGCTCAAAGTCGGTAAACTTCTTATTTGAATGGACAAAGTTTGTAATATTAGTTTATATATAAGGTAATGATAGGGAAACCAAAATATTAAACCAATTTGCAAACCAAATATGTGGTTGTTGATGATTAGATTATCACGTAAGTGTTGATTAACGTGCGTATTTCATATTGGTGACATATCATTTGATTTTCAAATTTGGTTTAAAATTTTGGATAACTAATGAAAAAGGCTTTAAAACTTTGAGTTTTAATTAAAAGGATAAAAAGGTGTTGTAAGTGAATAGTGCCGGGAGTGACTTGTTAGAGTAAAATTGTCATTTTTCGTTAAAGTGAACAATACCGGGAGTGTTTCATTAAAACTCCTTTAAAATTTTGATATCCCTAACATTATCCCCATATATATATATATATATACATATGTATGTATGTATAATTTGGGAACCCCTCCGAAGTGGGGTCCTAGACTGCCCCGCCTACTCCAGCTACCCTCAGGAGCGGTCGTGGGCTTATCAGCCATGTATGCTCGTTGTTCACTTGCTTGCGCATGCCTTTTCTTCTTCTTCCCATCTATGTTGGCGTTTTTTCATAAGGGCTACTCAAAGACTTGTTGGCATGTGCAAGCAAGGAAACTACTCAAAGGTTTTTTCATATGGACTGTTCTCTTTACTTTGTAACGGCAATCTAAAACTTTCAAACAGTTGGTTGGTGACTTGAAGGCATCTTATGTTTCTCAGATTGAACTCAGCATGCAATCTGACATCTGTAGGAGGAACTGGAATAAGCCTGGCCTAAAATCTGGCATACGGTCACATTATTGGTAGGAATAAACACCCCCAGTTGTGTCCTAGGAACAAGCACTCAATGATGCTAATTTCCTCATACACATGTCAGATTGCATACTGGTTTTGGTTTTAGAAGCATAAGACATTTAACATATTGAAAGTTTAGGGTTTAGGGCTACCAAATCCCTGTTGTACGTCGTCGTTTTCTAAGGCATCGAAACTTTTGTCCTTCGAATTCGTGGTTTTCTGATTCTTCCAGGCGCTACTCACGTGTACGGCAGCCTGAGCGCGTGGAGGTCTCGATTGATTCCATGGTCTAATTTTCCGCGAATCGCAATCCGACGGTGGCGATTGCATCGGTGTAGAACCAATCGACAAAAGTGGATCTCTTCAATGCGTATTTTCGACGAGCCAGTTTGGAACGCAATGGCCAGATTAGTGGCAATGAAGCAGTCGCTTTCTTCCAGGGCTCCGGTCTCCCCAAACAGGTCTGGCGCAGTTACTCTCTCTCTACATGTATATGCTTGTGTGTATATATATATTATATATATTTATATGTATAAGTGGATGTATATTGTAGTGTGTATGATTATATTTGTGTAATTATAGTGGTTGATCGGGATTTATGCTGGTGGAAATGTGTTCCAAATCAGATTGATTTTGAACTTTTAGTCTAATTGTAGTTGAAGTGATTAATGTGAGCTTGGGATGTTGTAATTCGCTGATCTAAGCTGAGATTTTTATTTTGCGTCAGGGCTGTTCTTATTTTACCGTAGGGGTTTGAATTAGCCCCTCCCGATCGTAGTATAATGCGGAATTGATGTTCAAATGGTAGAAAATAAGAAGATGAAGGACTTAATACAACAGTTAGTGAATTTGAGATAGTTGTGTTATCAGGTCATTAATTTACTTTTTGGTGTATTCTTTCGACCTCAGGTGGTAAGCAGACTTTAGAAATGTGTTATAAACTTATATGACCCAAGAATTGTTTATTACATTACAATTGTGTAGTAGTGAAAACCTACAGCATAAGATGACTACGGAATAGTTAGGATTGTAGCATACAAGGGAAATGTTCTTGGGTCATGACCACATTGACAAATAGGTTCTTGGAGCTTTATATTTGTTTTGCTGAAGGAATTTCCAAATCAAATGATAACCGGGGGCATAATATGTTAAAGATTGATTATATGAGTGCACTTTCTCATTATCTTTTTGTAACAGAAGTTTGGATATGTTCTAGTTTTTGTTTTGGACGAGGATATGTTTTAGTTTAATATTGGTTGCTTACATTTATTGGCAGATTTCGGCACGTGCAGACCCGGGGCAGACTAGTTTCCTTGGTCAGGCAGAGTTTTACAATGCCCTTAGAATTGTCACTGTGGCACAAGTAAGAGAGAACTTACGCCAGAAATGGTGAAGGCAGCATGATATGGCCCGGCTGAAGCTAGAATACCTGCACCCAAGATAAATCTTGCAGCAACACCCGACTCATCGTTTGGAGATGATGTGTTTTCTGCAACCCCATCTTAACCAAAGCAGAATTTTCCTCCTGGCAACGTACTTATCTCATCAGCCATTGTACCAGTATTTGTTGGGACCCAGTCTTCAGCTAGCCCAAGTACCCAGGTTGGTAGCCAGCCTCAGCAGGCCCGGTCATTTGCAAAAGCAAACCAGCAGGTCTCAGACTAGTGCTACTAGAGTTTCATCCAGTGCTGGGAACTCTGCTTCTAGTCAGTCTCATATATCATGGCTTAGTTTGACGCAAACTGATGTTCAGAAGTACACCAATATTTTTGTGAAAGTTGACGCATACAGATGGGAAGATCACTGGTGCACAAACCCGCGACCTATTTCTGAAATAGGGACGACCAAGAGGTAGTCCTATTTTCTTTTTATTCATCTTTTGGCTTGTGTTTTACAGGCACAGGTGCCATATATGTGCTTATTGAAGCTCTTTTCTTCAGTTTGTTTCTCTTCATGTTAGCTGTTAACTGAACTGATGTATCTTTGCAAAACTTGTACTATCCCTATCCCGGAGTTAAAGTTGTTTATTTTTCCTCTTCTGGGTGGTGGATGATTGACAATGTTTTAGTTGTTGGAGTTTAGCTTGAATTCCTCAACATAACAGGCTAGATCAAGCATATTTTTCTGCGAGATGCTTTGCCGCTGGATGTTCGTCCTTTGCATAATGTGTTCGTATTTAGATGTAAAAACTTACGTATGCCATGGGTACTTTGTAGATATAAAATTTTATTTGTAATTGGGTGTAATTTTTTGCTGGCCAATTGACATACAAACATCCATAAATACAATTAAATTGAGTCATGTGTGAATGTGCAATCTTGATTGATAGAATGAGTACCCATCCATCATGCCACATTATCTTGAAAGAGAACATGTCGTTATTGCATATGACATTTCGAGCTGATAGTGCAGGCATGAACACTGTCCATGGTTACAGTTATGAGCCTATATAGTATGACCATGAACATGACTTTTGGGAGCTATAAGTTGCCCTACCCCTTAACTTTATGATCTTGTTTACATCTGTCAGTGGTTATAAAAACGCGTTTCGCGCTGGAGCAGTGACCGCTGTTCCCCATAAATTTAAAGACTTCAAATGTTCCATTGGCTCCAAGATCTTTGGGAAGTTTTCAAGTTTGGGGCACCAAGAGAGATCGAGTTCCTCGAGATATTTCAACTTACAAATGCTCTTTGGAATACTTGAAAGCCCTTCGCAACGATGTAGATCAAGTATTTTGAGAGCATGGAGAAATTCGATTGATGAGTGTAGCTCTTGAACCATTGTTCCACTTAAATTTAAAGACTTCAAATGTTCCATTGGCTCCAAGATCTCTGGGAAGTTTTCAAGTTTGGGGCACCAAGAGAGATCGAGTTCCTCGAGATATTTCAACTTACAAATGCTCTTTGGAATACTTGAAAGCCCTTCGCAACGATGTAGATCAAGTATTTTGAGAGCATGGAGAAATTCGATTGATGAGTGTAGCTCTTGAACCATTGTTCCACTTAAATTTAAAGACTTCAAATGTTCCATTGGCTCCAAGATCTTTGGGAAGTTTTCAAGTTTGGGGCACCAAGAGAGATCGAGTTCCTCGAGATATTTCAACTTACAAATGCTCTTTGGAATACTTGAAAGCCCTTCGCAACGATGTAGATCAAGTATTTTGAGAGCATGGAGAAACTCGATTGATGAGTGTAGCTCTTGAACCGTTGTTCCACTTAAATTTAAAGACTCCAAATGTTCCATTGGCTCCAAGATCTCTGGGAAGTTTTCAAGTTTGGGGCACCAAGAGAGATCGAGTTTCTCGAGATATTTCAACTTACAAATGCTCTTTGGAATGCTTGAAAGCCTTTTGCAACCATGTAGATCAAGTATTTTGAGAGCATGGAGAAACTCGATTGATGAGTGTAGCTCTTGAACCGTTGTTCCACTTAAATTTAAAGACTCCAAATGTTCCACTGGCTCCAAGATCTTTGGAAAGTTTTCAAGTTTAGAGCAGCCGGAGAGATTGAGTTCCTTGAGATATTTCAACTTACAAATGTTGGTTGGTAGACTCACAAGTTTGTTGCAATCAATCAATGATAATTTAGTTATATCCCTCGGAAGCTCAGAAAACTCGGCAAGAGATGTGCACCCATCTAGATTAAAAGAACCAGAGACTTTCAGCTTACACATGTTGCTTGGAAGTTTCTCAAGGTCTCCGCAATGACTTATATTCAAGTAAGAAATTTTTTCGTGAGACCAAACTGACTGGGTCAACTCCTTTATACCAGTGTAAGATAAATCCAAGTATTTAATATTTCCTGGCATCTCTGGAATTTCAACCAAACTTCCACAGCCAGAGAGATTTATGTCCACAATTTTTAGACTCCCAGAGAGATTTGGAACTTCAGTTAGATCTATAGAGCCATGCAGATCGAGCACTTGTAAGTTGACAAGTCTCTGTAACAAGAGTAGAGAGAAATATCAAGAATTAATATGATTTCTACACTAAATTTTATACAAGAGTTAGAATAGGCATATAATATACCTGGTCTTCTTTCCAGAGCTTCTTAACTCGGCTCCATGGCATATGAAGCTCAACTAGATTTTCCGGCGAAAATTTTGACGGCAAAGATTCTAGTGGATATCCTAACCAGTCAAGGTAGCGAAGAGCATCGGGAAGGTCTACAGAAGTGGTGGGTTTGAAGTCAATTATTTGAGAATTATGCACAAATAGCATTCTTAGGTTTGACATCAATTTGAAGTTCCATGGTCGTCGCTCTTCACTCTTATGCCATTTAAGGAATATGGCTTCAACAATTGGACTTTCCTGACAATAAGAACAAAGTTTAAATGTATATATTTTCAACATGTTAAAATGTAATGCTTGTTTAGAAAAAGAATTCAACAAAGTTATAGAATAATCTAGAGTATTTACGATGGTAATGATGTACAAGTTTCTAGTAAAATATCAAAGCTAATTTTAATAAAATAACAAAGACTACATAGACTTCCTATCACAATAAAAAAATAGTAGAGTTTTCTTATCACTTAGTTGTACCATCACTTGTACTATCTTTCTAATAAAGATAGGATCCGTCATTGCATGGAGGTCTCATCTCTATTAGAGAGATGATCCAAATAATGGTATAAATAAATATTAAGAATAGCATTTTTGCAATAAAATTCAATAAAATTAATATTTTAAGAATCTGACTTCTTTTTATAAATGAGTTTTATTTTGTTGTGTTATCTTCTCAGATTTGCTATTTATTTTTTCTTTAAAAAAACAGAAAAGAAAAGAAAGCATTGAATGCATTTGGCTCTTACCATGTTACTATTCAGTACACGATAGATTTCCTCATTCGTGAACAACCTACTCCGTTTACCAGGATCTTCAATACATTGTTCTTGAACAATTGTCCTTCCCATTTCTTGTAGTGAATCATGCATCTCTATGACTTTCCTTACCCATTTGTCTGAATAAATTGATATGAGAGATCTATCATGGAGATTTCTAATTCCCGATGTTGCAAAGAATCCACGAACATGTAACATTCGTTCTACCTCACTCACTTCCTTCCCTTTATGAAAACATGCTATATCCAAAAATATCTGCTTCTCATTTTCTTCCAATCTATTGTAACTTATTCTCAACACTTTCTGGATATCTTGTCTAGGAAATCGTTTTAATTTGTTGAATTCATCTTCCCATTCTTCTTTACTCTGGCAATTGAAAAATAAGGACCCCAGAACTATAAGATCTAAGGGAACGCCTCTGGCATAATCCACGATCTTTTTTGATAACTCCTCATAATCTGTTCTACGAGTAGTGTTATTCTTGAAAGCATGCAAACAGAAGAGCTGAAAAGCGTCATCCGATTTTAATACCTCAACTTCGTAGATATTCTCCTCTTCAACAATTTGTCTAAGTGTGTCCTTATCTCTACTTGTGATAATGATTCTACTTCCAGTGCCATACCGTTGAAGATCACCAGCTAAACGTTGCATTTGCATTGGACTACTCACATCATCAATAACAATGAGGACCTCTGTGCGGCTAAGCCTCCTTCGAACAATAGTTGATTCTATGGATAGACTTTCTCCCTTGAAAATGTCACTTAGAAGTTTCTTTTGCAAGCAATCTAGTCCATCTGGTTGTTCTGATTTCTCCTTGACATTTTTAAGAAAACAAGAAGCTTTGAATTTAGAAGAGAGTTTGTGAAATACAGTTTCAGCAAGGGTGGTCTTGCCAATACCACCCATGCCCCAAATACCTATAGTGATGCAAGCGTCCTTTGAGTCAATGCCCAGTCGCAATTCAATTTGTTGAATGCGGCTTTCAATTCCAACCAAGCCATCTAAATCACATGATGATTCACAATTCAAGTTTGTCCAAATTTGATCGACAACATTCTTAATTAGATCTGCCTCCGTCCTGGCATATATACATGTATGATTATGTAGAAAAAAACAATAGTTAGCCTTAAAGGCTAGTCGCAAAAGTTGTCACGTAAAAAAAGAAATATACTAAAAGTTTTAACACCGTATATTTGTGCAAGAAAAGAAATCTTGTGTATTTTCTCCTCAAAATAAAATTAAAGCAATATTAAAATAGAAATACATTTGTTTTTAGGTAAACAACAATACAACTAAGTAAGCTTGCGTATTATAGCATTCAACCCACTATCTTTTTGAAGAAAATGAACTTGTCCCACTAATGAAATCATTAACCCTAAAGAGAAATCAGATACGTTTAAATGAACTACAACTAATTATATGCTTGGCCAAGGAACAAGGCCACCCCTCCCCAAACCCACAAAGCAATGGCAATTTCGTAATTACCCTAGCCTAAAGTTGGGAGGGGTGGCCTTGTAGCTAAGCTATAGGGCAATTTCAATTGGGGATTTTGATTTATTTAAAGAATTTCTATCCTTTGAGAAAAAAATTCCTATACGCGGGGGTATGATTGGTGTGTTTGGGCCTAAAGTGGGCTTTGTTATGGGTGGCTAAGGAGGAAGGCCTGATTAGATGTCAAATGACCGTAATGCCCATCCGGATTTTAGATCCAACGGTCTGAGGTAAAAGGTGGCTAGGCAATTATCATTTTAGAATAGGTAGAGGTGCGGGTTGCAGTCGGTGAGATTGAGGAAAGTGTTACAGAGAGAGAAGGAGAGATGGAGCCGTGAACATGGGCAAGTATGACCTGTTCGTACGAGACTTGTGATTCAGTAAGTGGAAGGGTTACATAGAGAGAAAGAGAGGGAGCTGCTTTATTGAATGTTTGAATGGGTTATAGGTCGCAACACTATTCATTTGTATAAGATTGAACGTTTTGGGTGTTCAATTAAACAACCCTAAATTTCACCAAACATGCTGCTTTATTGTATATGTGAAATTTCGTTCCTAGAATTTCATTATTAATTATGCATTTTATTATTTAATTCCATATTTCGTATTTACATTATTTTTATTTTATTCTAATTCCGTCAATTTTAGAATTTGAATTGTATAGTTACAAGGTAGGACTTTTTGTAATTAATCTTTCAAAATTTGTAGACCTTTCGAGGTCACAATTTGTGTTTTAGAATCAAACTCAATTCCATGAGCGCGTGGGCGAAAACCGTTCGCAAATTGGAGTGATAACGAAGATGTTACGGACACTTGAAGTTCGATTAAGAAAATAAAATAAAAATGTTTAATATATAACTAGAAGCTCCCATTAATTTAGGGGAATGGCTAATTGGAGAGAGAGCGAGTGATAGTGAGGTGACCAATCAGAGAAGAGAGGAGGGAACCTAGCATGACCCATTCCCCCTTCGTGACCCGACTTCTGACTCGAACCCTCTGCAATTTTCGGCGTGATTTCTGTCAATTTTGTTTGGCTTTTCTCGACCTTCCACCACAAGCTCGACGAGATTTTTGCCTTGGTTTCACGAAAAACTCCACTAACGGGTCCGTGAATATTCGATGGCGATTGGCCGTTTCTGAAGCTTGTTCTTTCGACCAGCGCCACCAATAGACCGTCCTTGAACCTAAAAACAAGGCCTAAGCATTGGTTGGAGTTTCGGGGTTCGAAGAACACTCATCTTAGGATTCCGATGGTCTTGGGTGATTTCAGGCCACTTCTCGGCCAAATTGGACCTCGACCTAGGCGACGATAGTACGTGACGTCTTGATATTCATGCTAGGGTGCGCTAACGTGGACTTTAGCACTGATTGTACATGTGACAGGCTTGAGTAGATTATGAGGAACCGGTGGGGTAGAAGTGCAAAGATCAGAGACTTGGAGCGATTAGGTTACTCCTTTATCCCTCCTTGTATTATTTCTTTTGTGATTTATATTTTAAGTGTCTATGGGCATGTCTTGGCCCTAGTGAGGGTTGTGTATTTTGAGAGTACAAATTTGTATATATTTTGAGGGGGAGAGCCCACTATCATGTTTATTTTGAGGTATTAGTTCTAGTATTTCATTTAGTATCTTGTAAGTAGTTAAGACGTCCCCTACGTACCTGTGTCATGTGTCAATCCTGGACGTACGTCGGGATCGGGGTGTGACAACTTTTGGTGGTATCAAAGCTTAGGTTTAGGTTCCCATACCTTAACCTTAGAGTGAGGAAGCCTTGGGTAGGTTGGGTACTAGACCTTAATTAGGTCGTGTGGATTCGTTTCTCTAATTTCGTGTATATGCTTATGTTGAATTCTTCCATGCACTAGATATATTATGACGACCCCACATGGTGTTATTCGGCCGCTTGGGGATGATGTCCTCGACACTTCTGCTATTGATTAAAAAGGCTAGCCACGATTATGATGGACCCGATGGTGCTTTTTAGGCCATTGATGATTTGACACAGTTGATGCAGGCTCACGTACGTGCGACTTCTAGTAGGGAGAAGTCTCTATATGGAGAGTTTCGTACTTATAAACTGCTTTCATTCAATGGTAGTACTGATATATGAACGACTGAGTCTTGGACCAATTGGATCGCCAGAGTTTTCACCGTTTTGTGATGCTCACCTGAGGAGTAGGTAGACCTTGCAGTGTATATGTTAACAGGTAGGCTTACGAGTGGCATCATATCACTCGTTCTTTATTGGTAGTCGGAGGACCCTTAACTTAGGAGTGATTTCAGACTGCATCTTTGGGCAATATTTTTCAGAGTCATTTTGGGATGAGCTGGAGGTAGATTTCGCCACTATTGAGCAGGGCACCACCACAGTTGCTGATCATGTGGCCCGTTTTAGTTAACTTTACTGTTTCTCTCAACACCTCTATGAGGAAAAGAAAACGAAGAAACTTATTATGGCATTCAAGCCTAGTATAAGGAATCTGTTATCTGTTAGGGATTGCCTTTATTCGCTCAGTCGATTGATCGTGCATGCACAACAGAGCTTAATGAGGAATGGAGGCACGAGCGAGTGGAAAACAAAGGAAGAGGGCCTGGTCAGAGGGCCAGTCATCTGATGCGTTTTCGGGTATATCCAAAAAATGCCAGAGATTCTCGTTTGGTGGTTCTCATGGATTGTCACATAGAGAAAATCAGGGTACTTTTCATGGAGATTTCCAAGCTAAGTTAGAGAAGGCTCTCAACATTCTGTTGAGGTGAGTCTTCAGAGTCGTTTTCGAGGAGGTACTCATAGCGCAGGACCCCAAACTTTTTCTGAAAGGCATTCAAAAATTTATTTTAGAGGATCTCGATACCAGCCACAGAAGACACTTCCATGGATTTGTACTCACTGAGGACGTCGACACTATGACACATGTAGAGATGGTTCTAAGACTTGTACCAGTGCGGCAAGACTGGTCACTATTTTAAGATTGCCCACAGACTACTGCTAACAGAGCTGGTAGACCTGCTACTAGTGCTGGGGGCTCAGTAGCATATTCGGCGTAGAGTAGGCCTTCTAGAGCACCTTCTGTCACATCCCTGCCCGGGACGGACCACTTCTCGAGCCCGCTCCATCACCGTAGCACGATATTGTCCGCTTTGGGCCCCGACCACGCCCTCACGGTTTTGTTTTTGGGAACTCACACGAGAACTTCCTGATGGGCACCCATCCTGAGAATGCTCTCGTGCGCTACTCGCTTAACTTCGGAGTTCCCATGGAACCCGAAGCCAGTGAGCTCTCAAAAGGCCTTGTGCTAGGTAGGGATGAGAATATACATTTAAGGATCACTCCCCTGGGCGATGTGGGATGTCACAATCCACCCCCCTTAGGGGCCCGACGTCCTCGTCGGCACACATGCGGTCAGGGTTAGGCTCTGATAACAAATTGTCACATCCTGGCCCGGGGCGGACCACTTCCCGGGCCTGTTCCACCACCGTAGCACGATATTGTCCGCTTTGGGCCCCGACCACGCCCTCACGATTTTGTTTTTGGGAACTCACACGAGAACTTCCCGATGGGTCACCCATCTTGGGAATGCTCTCGTACGCTACTCGCTTAACTTCGGAGTTCCCATGGAACCCGAAGCCAGTGAGCTCCCAAAAGGCCTCGTGCTAGGTAGGGATAGGAATATACATTTAAGGATCACTCCCCTGGGCGATGTGGGATGTTACACCTTCTGACTTGGTTCAGTAAAGGATTGTACAGCAAATGACCAGACAATAAAGCGACAGACAGCTTGGAAGAAGTTCACAGCGAGTTAGGGCCTAGAGCAATGGAGTTGGGACGTCTCAAATGGGTTCTCAGCGAGTTGGCAAGGTTTGTGCATTATCCACTTTGGAGGCCGAGGCTGAGCTTAACATAGTCACAAGTACTATCATCTTGATTCGCTCCCTGCTAGGCCATTGTTTGATCTTGGAGCTGAGAATTCTTTTACATCAAGTACTTTTGTTAAGTCTTTGGGTAAACCTATTGAGACGATGGATGTGACATACTCCATTTCCTCTCATTTTTCGAGGCCTCATATTGTTGACCAAGTAGTTTGATCTTGTGAGGCTTAGGTGGATCAGGGTGAGATGTTAGCAGATTTGATGATTATTCTGATGCGAGATCTAGATGTCATTATAGGCATGGATTACCTATCGATATATCGCGCGAATTTCAATTGTTTTTAGAAAGTGATAACCGTTCGACCACTTGACAGGCCTCCGTTTTAGTTTGCTAAAGTTCATAAACCTGTTCCACCACTAGTAATGGTATCAGTTGCCAAGGCTAGACGACTCATGAGATACGAATGTCAGGGTTATTTGGCTCATGTCATACCCGTTGAGCAAGGAAATAGTGAAATTAATGCCGTTCCAGTAGTTAGAGAATTCCCTAACGTATTTCTTGCAGAGTTACATGGCTTGCCTCCAATAAGGGAGATTGAGTTCACTATTGACCTTATGCCAGAGACAACACCTATTTCTAAGGCTCCATATCGTATAGCGCCTTTGAAACTCAGAGAGCTCAAAGCGCAGTTACAGAAGTTAATGGATAAAGGTTTAATTCGACCTAATGTTTCACCTTAGGGTGCTGCCATTCTCTTTGTGAAGAAAAAAGACAGATCATGTGTTTGCGCATCAATTATCGTGAGCTTAATATGGATATAGAGTGAGTGCGAAATAAGTACCCGCAATCGAGGATTGATGACTTGTTTGACCAACTTCAAGGTGCTCAATATTTTAGTAAGCTCGATTTGCGGATTGGTTATCATCAATTGAGGATCCAAGATGATGACATAGAAAAGATAGCTTTTCTGACTCGCTATGGTGCGTTAACGCAAAGTCTAGGCACTGATTATACATGTGACAAGCCTGAGGAGATTTACAAGGAGCCGATGGGGGTAGCAGTGCAAAAATCAAAGATTTAGAGTGATTAGGTTGCCCCTTTATCTTTCTTTGTATTATTTCTTTTGGAACTTATATTTTGACCGCCTATGGTCATGTCTTGGCCCTAATGAGGGTTGTGTATTTTGAATGTACAGATTTGTATATATTTTGTGGGGGAGAGTTCACTATCGTGTTTATTTTGTGGTATTAGTTCTAGTATTTCATTTGGTATCTTGTACGTATGTTAAGATGTTCGCTACGTCTCTATGTCACGTGTCGATCCTAGACGTATGTCGGGATCGAGGCGTGACAATTATATGTTCATATTCTTTAGGAAGTACATACTGCAGAGTTGTAATTAGTTTCAGGTCAGGGATTGTGATGGGTGGATCGAAATTGGAATTATTATATGCTATTTGGTTGCTTGCTTCAAATATGATAAGAGCAGTGACACAAAAAATGAAAACCCAGTCATTGGTTTACTTTTTCCTCCTTCTCGTTTACCAGTTGAGTTGGAAGGGTAATTGCTACACCTTTTCTACATTTTTAAGATCTTATAAATCTTTTTCAACATTTATGCATATTTTTCTCCCAGTTTACAATTCAGCAAAATGAAAGTTATATTACCATTTTACAATAGGATGAAAATAATCACATTAGTTAACCTTTATTCATACTTGGATGCAGATAATTGTGATAGAAAAGTCTATTGTGGTTAGCTTAATAGAAAATGTGATATGAACAATTTGAAAAGTCCACTTTCTTTTCATATGTACGCTTTAACATATGTCAGTTTTAATTATTCATGAGCAAAAGAAATTTTATTTTTCTCCTTCCGGTACACTTAAATAATAAGATTTTTAAAATGTTAATAACATTTCCCTATTAAATATTAAATGCACTTGAGTATTCAATTGTTTTTAGCAATTAAGAGTCTCTCTTCAATAATTACACTTTTATTCCGTCATCTTCACTAAAATGTCTTAGATTTACGTTAACAACTTCTATTTTTTAAAATGTTCTATTTTGTAAATAATAGTAAATATGATTGTACATATATATGCAGATAGAGTTGCTGTAAATAAGTGTAAATAGAGTTGTTGTAATAAGTTTGAAAAGCTAATTGAACTGCATTTTACATCTGTTTCTTATGCAAAGACATTATATTTTGTGATTGCACCGTCTAATAAAATGTTTTATTTTGTTCCATTCTTTACATTACATGTTACTTTGATGTGAAGTTGTTCTCTAAATTACAAATTCCACTCTTCTTTATGATTTGATTTAATTACATGACAAATTTTTCGTCCTGTAGCAACGGACGGGCATGAAGTCTTGTTAAAACCAAAATCTCCCATCAATTGCATTGCAGCAAAGCTACAGTACCCCACCCCTCCCCAAGTTTAAAATAGAGTAATGCTTTACCAAATCTAATCAAATTCTCACAAGTTTAAATAAAATTTATAATTTTATACAAGTTAAATAATGAGTTACTTACCCGTGATTGTTTGAATAATCAAACCCAGACAGATCGGCTGCAGCCTTCAAAGCATCCCTCCACTTGTGCACCTTATCAATACTGTCCTTGAAACGTTTTTCAAGTTGAGCAAATGCATCCGCATAACTCCCGTGCGCCACTCGCTTAACTTCGGAGTTCCCATGGAACCCGAAGCCAGTGAGCTCCCAAAAGGCCTCGTGCTAGGTAGGGATGAGAATATACATTTAAGGATCACTCCCCTGGGCGATGTGGGATGTCACAATCCACCCCCCTTAGGGGCCTAACGTCCTCGTCGGCACACACGCGGTCAGGGTTAAGCTCTGATACCAAATTGTCACATCCCGGCCCGGGGCTGACCACTTCCCGGGTCTGCTCCACCACCGTAGCACGATATTGTCCGCTTTGGGCCCCGACCACACCCTCACGATTTTGTTTTTGGGAACTTACACGAGAACTTCCCGATGGGTCACCCATCTTGGGAATGCTCTCGTGCGCTACTCGCTTAACTTCGGAGTTCCCATGGAACCTGAAGCTAGTGAGCTCCCAAAAGGCCTCGTGCTAGGTAGGGATAGGAATATACCTTTAAGGATCACTCCCCTGGACGATGTGGGATGTTACACCTTCTGACTTAGTTCAATAGAGGATTGTACAGCAAATGACCAGACAATAAAGCGACAAGACAGCTTGGAAGAAGTTTTCAGCGAGTTAGGGCCTGGAGCAATGGAGTTGGCAAGGTTTGTGCATTATCCACTTTGGAGGCCGAGGCTGAGCTTAACATAGTCACAAGTACTATTCATCTTGATTCGCTCCCTGCTAGGCCATTGTTTGATCTTGGAGCTGAGAATTCTTTTACATCAAGTACTTTTGTTAAGTCTTTGGGTAAACCTATTGAGACGATGGATGTGACATACTCCATTTCCTCTCATTTTTCGAGGCCTCATATTGTTGACCAAGTAGTTTGATCTTGTGAGGCTTAGGTGGATCAGGGTGAGATGTCAGCAGATTTGATGATTATTCTGATGCGAGATCTAGATGTCATTATAGGCATGGATTACCTATCGATATATCGCGCGAATTTCAATTGTTTTTAGAAAGTGATAATTGTTCGACCACTTGACAGGCCTCCGTTTTAGTTTGCTAAAGTTCATAAACCTGTTCCACCACCAGTAATGGAATCAGTTGCCAAGGCTAGACGACTCATGAGATACGGATGTCAGGATTATTTGGCTCATGTCATACCCGTTGAGCAAGGAAATAGTGAAATTAATGCCATTCCAGTAGTTAGAGAATTCCCTAACGTATTTCTTGCAGAGTTACATGGCTTGCATCCAGTAAGGGAGATTGAGTTCACTATTGACTTTATGCTAGAGACAACACCTATTTCTTGGCTCATGTCATACCCGTTGAGCAAGGAAATAGTGAAATTAATGCCATTCCAGTAGTTGGAGAATTCCCTAACGTATTTCTTGCAGAGTTACATGGCTTGCATCCAGTAAGGGAGATTGAGTTCACTATTGACTTTATGCTAGAGACAACACCTATTTCTAAGGCTCCATATCGTACGGCGCCTTTGAAACTCAGAGAGCTCAAAGCGCAGTTACAGAAGTTAATGGATAAAGGTTTAATTCGACCTAATGTTTCACCTTAGGGTGCTGCCATTCTCTTTGTGAAGAAAAAAGACAGATCATGTGTTTGCGCATCAATTATCGTGAGCTTAATATGGATATAGAGTGAGTGCGAAATAAGTACCCGCAATCGAGGATTGATGACTTGTTTGACCAACTTCAAGGTGCTCAATATTTTAGTAAGCTCGATTTGCGGATTGGTTATCATCACTTGAGGATCCAAGATGATGACATACAAAAGATAGCTTTTCTGACTTGCTATGGTGCGTTAACGCAAAGTCTAGGCACTAATTATACATGTGACAAGCCTGAGGAGATTTACAAGAAGCCGATAGGGGTAGCAGTGCAAAGATCAAAGATTTAGAGTGATTAGGTTGCCCTTTTATCTTTCTTTGTATTATTTCTTTTGGAACTTATATTTTGACCGCCTATGGTCATGTCTTGGCCCTAATGAGGGTTGTGTATTTTGAATGTACAGATTTGTATATATTTTGTGGGGGAGAGTTCACTATCGTGTTTATTTCGTGGTATTAGTTCTAGTATTTCATTTGGTATCTTGTACGTATGTTAAGATGTTCGCTACGTCTCTATGTCACGTGTCGATCCTAGACGTATGTCGGGATCGAGGCGTGACAATTATATGTTCATATTCTTTAGGAAGTACATACTGCAGAGTTGTAATTAGTTTCAGGTCAGGGATTGTGATGGGTGGATCGAAATTGGAATTATTATATGCTATTTGGTTGCTTGCTTCAAATATGATAAGAGCAATGACACAAAAAATGAAAACTCAGTCATTGGTTTACTTTTTCCTCCTTCTCGTTTACCAGTTGAGTTGGAAGGGTAATTGCTACTCATTTTCTACATTTTTAAGATCTTATAAATCTTTTTCAACATTTATGCATATTTTTCTCCCAGTTTACAATTCAGCAAAATGAAAGTTATATTACCATTTACAATAGGATGAAAATAATCACATTAGTTAACCTTTATTCATACTTGGATGCAGATAATTGTGATAGAAAAGTCTATTGTGGTTAGCTTAATAGAAAATGTGATATGAACAATTTGAAAAGTCCACTTTCTTTCATATGTACGCTTTAACATGTGTCAGTTTTAATTATTCATGAGCAAAAGAAATTTTATTTTTCTTCTCCCGGTACACTTAAATTCGTACATCAACATATATTTGTTTTTAACCTATATTAAATAGGGAATTGCTATTAGCACTCCAAAAATCTCATTTTACACTCCAAACTTTCTATATTTAGAAAGAAAAATACACTTTTGAAGAATGTAGAACGAGATTTTTAGAGTGTCAATAACACTTCCCTATTAAATATTAAATGTACTTGAGTATTCAATTGTTTTTAGCAATTAAGAGTCTCTTTTCAATAATTACACTTTTATTCCGTCATCTTCACTAAAATGTCCTAGATTTACATTAACAACTTCTATTTTTTAATTTGTAACATAGAAGCATGCATATGAGGGCAAAACAAACTGTGTGTTGACCAAGGAGGTTTGAAAAAGCTGATTAGTATTTGTGTAAAAATAATAGTAAATATGATTGTACATATATGTGCAGATAGAGTTGCTGTAAATATGTGTAAATAGAGTTGTTGTAATAAGTTCGAAAAGCTAATTGAACTGCATTCTATATCTGTTTCTGATGCAAAGACATTATATTTTGTGATTGCACCGTCTATTAAAATGTTCTATTTTGTTCCATTCGTTACATTACATGTTACTTTGATGTGATGTTGTTCTCTAAATTACAAGAAAAATTCCACTCTTCTTTATGATTTGATTTAATTACATGACAAATTTTTCGACCTGTAGCAACGGACGGGCATGAAGTCTTGTTAAAACCAAAATCTCCCCTCAATTGCATTGCAGCAAAGCTACAGTGCCCCACCCCTCCCCAAGTTTAAAATAGAGTAATGCTTTACCAAATCTAATCAAATTCTCACAAGTTTAAATAAAATTTATAATTTTATACAAGTTAAATAATGAGTTACTTACCCGTGATTGTTTGAATAATCAAACCCAGACAGATCGGCTGCAGCCTTCAAAGCAACCCTCCACTTGTGCACCTTATCAATACTGTCCTTGAAACGTTTTTCAAGTTGAGCAAATGCATCCGCATAACTCCCGTGTTGTTTTCGTACATCAGATGGATTGATGTCATAGAATACGGGTATAACCTTCTGGCCATGTCTTTCCTTGCATTCGAGTATATGCACAAGCTCATCCAAACACCATGTGGAAGAAGCATAGTTTTGTGAGAAAATGATCACCGAATGCGTGGATTTCTCGATTGCCTCTAGAAGGGCAGGTCCGATTTCTTCTCCTTTCTGAAGTCTGTAATCTATGTAGGTTTCAATTTTCTTCTGAAGTAAGGCAGCATGAAGATGGCTGGTAATACCACGGCGGGTGTCCTCACCTCTGAAACTGACAAACACATCATACTTTTCCTGAACAGGGGGGATATTAGCTTCAATACCATCCATCTGTTTGTGTCTCTTTTCTCGACGAGGAGAGATATTAGCTTCAATCTCATCCATCTGTTTGTGTCTTTTTTCTCGACGAGGGGTGATATTAGCTTCAATACCATCCATCTGTTTGTGTCTCTCTCAAGGAACTAACAATAGACTTGTAACTTGTGAGTAAAAAAGAAGAGAAAGAGGCGAGCGCTTGATAATATGTCAAAGAAAGAGAACGGAATATTTGAGATGAATGAGATTTATTAAGTTATTGAAAATTTTATGGTGCTCAGGCCTTTCCTAGAAAATCATCGAAGAGAGGAAAAAGAAGAACCCCAACTGAAGCACCTTTACCTTCCGCGTAGAAAGCTTCAACGCGTTCACACATGAAGAAAGACAAACTAAGGGTACATCATCATCAACAAAACACACACACCACCCCTCCTCCCCCGCGGGCCCCACGGGCCCCGCGACGGGGGCCTTACGCGTTTTACGTACAAACTTTGTTGCTCGATTTCATCTTTTGATCAGCAGAGCATCCAATGTGATCTGATCTCAACAAGGACTACTGTAGCATTTGGGCGAAGTTGGTGCACTAGTAGTTCAGGATGCCACGATGGGTTGATGTAACATGGATGGACATCATATCATTCAATTTGTACTGACAAGGTGCTAGGACGCAACAATCAATCACCAAAACAGAGTAATTTATAATATACATGATTTCAATAATAAGCACTCTGTATGTTGTGTATCATTCACGCAGTGTTTGAAGAAAGTGCTGGTGTAACCCATGCATCCGGGTTCAAATTTTTCCCCTTTTAAATTATTATAATAATTTTGAACCCTTTCCCTTCCTCCTAATAATAATAAATTCTTTAAAAAAAAAAAAAAGAATTCTTCACAATTTTGTGGACTGAAGCAATGTAAATTATTGGGGTTTTTAATACAACTGCACTATGGTGAGGAAATTTGAGCAAATCGCTCAATCAGTTGGTTACAATAAATTAGTATCAAATTCACTATATTTGAAAGTCGGTCATAAAATTACGCCTTAATCACCTACAAGTAAAGAAGAATATTACGCCATTTAGTACTACGATTTAGTAGTATTCCTCTTCACTTGTAAGTGAGAGATCTTAGATTCGATTCTTGCCAAAAGAGAATTTGAATCATATTATTACTAGCCCATTGTGAGGTTTAATCCACCCTGACCCTCTTAGTGTAGATAATATCGTTTGCTAAAAATAAATAACTACTATTTTTTATAGTGTTTAAATGAGGGATAAAATAATTGTTAAGGAAAAACAACATTTTGACAAATTAATTGATGTGGACTAAGCACTACAGAGTATATAATAATATTAATCAAACCACATTATTGCTTAGGCGTGGGTACGGTGTGGTTTCAGTCTCAAATAGGAACTTGAACTGGAAAATATCAAAGGTTTGGTTTGGTATGGTTTCGCTTAAATTTATTATCAAAACCATACAATTTGGTTTACACTGTTCGGTTTATGCCGGTTTACAGTTCCGAATATTTGAATATCAAATCAAAATGGTATTCAAAGTTGACTTGTTTTCTTTTTGTGGTTTTTGCATGCTTGCATTTAAATACAACTTTTAAAATGGTTATACAAAAGTTACAAACAAACATATCATTTTCAAATACTAAATCAAAATGCAAATGTCCTTGACACCAAGCCAAAAGAAAAAGAAAAAGGAACATATAAATTCATAATACAAATACATCCACTGTGTAGTAAGAATGTTTAGTACGAATACAATAATTTAAGCCTAAAAGGAACTTATCAAGCGATTTAAAAAATGCCCAGGAAAAAGGGAAATAAAAAAACAGGATGCAAATCACCTTAAGATCATTCTATCCAAGAAAAATATGAAATTGAAATCTGAATTCCAAATTTGGAGACCTAGGATAGAAAATGACCCCCTTTATTTATTTATTTATTTATTTTTATTTTTTCTATTATCAATTATGTGCCTTATCTCAATAGGTGAACATGCAAGCGAAAAACCTAATTGCGAAATGCTCCCATGCAGCCACACCAGTTTGGTTTTCACTTTTTACCACTCATTTAATGATATCTGTATGCAACTATTAAATTTAATTAATTATTTATATTCATGGTTCATTTCGGTTCTAAGTAGTTTTATCAACATGAAAACTAGAATCAGAATCGGTATGAAAGGTTCAGTTCCGTTATTGAACCTACGTTGACTTTTTTTTGTCAACCCGATTTTTTAGGGTTTATTTTGTCGCGGTTCAATTTGGTTTCGCGGTTCTATGGTTTTTATGCCTATTGTGAGATTTAACCTATTTTCTCATCCTTTAGTATAGATAATATAGTTTCTTCAAGATAGTCATGATGCACTCCATCTGTTTGTGTTTCTCTTAAGGAACTAACAATAGATAACTTGCAAATAAAAAAGAAGAGAAAGAAGCAAGCGCTTTAATCTACTTTCTCATTCTTTAGTATAGATAATATAGTTTCTTCAAGATAGTCATGATACAATCCATCTATTTGTGTTTCTCTTAAGGAACTAACAATAGATAACTTGCGAATAAAAAAGAAGAGAAAGAAGCGAACGCTTGATAATGTATCAAAAGAAAGAGAACGGGATATTTGAGATGAATGAGATTGATTTAAGGACTTATGGTGCTCAGACTTTCTAAAAGAGAAGAAAGAAAAATGCCCCGACTCAAGCACCTTTACCTTCCGCGGACAAAAATTCAACGGGTTCACACATGAAGAAAGACAAATTAAGGGAACGACATCATCAGTTCATACCTTTTAGTAAAGCTAGCTGACTACTCACTAGTCACGGTGAATGGCAGTGGCAAACACACAGTAAGCCAATAGGCTCTCCTTCCGGGCCTTACGCGTTTTATGTGCCAACTTTGTTGCTCGATTTCATCTTCAGCAGAGCATGTAATGTAATCTGATCTCAACAAGAACTACTGTAGCATTTGGATGACGTACTTGCTGGTGCGTTAGATGAGGATCCGCTTTGGATTCTCTTTGTGGGAATCTAGATGATCAATCAATCGTATTCGTTTATCGTACATTATATTCTAGTTTTCTTTAGGTATTATTTGTGTTCAATTTTAAATAAAAAATTCAAAATAATTTCTAACTACACGATGTACGATGAACGGACAAAATTAATTGATCATCTGGATCCCCACAAAAATTGATCCAGATAAGATCCTAATCCGTGCATTATTAGTCTAGGATGCCATGATGAATTGATGAAACATTGATGGACATCATATTATTCAATTTGTATTGAGAAATTATATAGCAGCTTCATGCTGCAACTTGTAACAAACAATCACCAACACCACTGACAAGGTGGCCAGGACGCAATAAACAATCACCAAAACTTGCAACAAACCACAAAATTATTTTCGATACTTCATACACACGACTTTCTTGTTTTCTCAGAAGCGATACATACGGCTTTAATATCTCTACAAATTCAATAATCGCCAAAATGTGCCAGTAGCCAGCAACAGATTTCATAGATCATGTGTTGATTTTTTTTTTTCCAGAGAAATTATCTACATAGTGATGCATACTATATAGGATCTCAATAATAAGCATTGAATTTTGTGTATCATTCACGCACGGTTTGAAGAAGGGTGTTGGTTTATACTCATGCGTCCCGGGTTTGAATTTCTTCTCTTTTAAATTATTGTAATAATTTCAAACATACGATCTAGTGATATTCTTCTTAACTTGTAAGTGAGAGGTCTTAGATTCAATTCTTGCCAAAAGCAAATTGAATCATATTATTGGTAACTCATTGTGAGGTTTGACCCATTCCCCTCCTTCTTTTTATGATAGATAATATTGTTTGTTAAAAAAAAAAAAAAAAAGAATTAATTACACTAACACCCCTTCAGGTTTATTATGTTTCACAAAACCCCCTCACGTTTGAAACATAACACTAATTCCCCTTAAGGTTTTAGTTCACTTTCACATAACTCCTTCTGGTCAAATTTGCTCTCATTATAATTAAAAATAAATAAAAAGAAAATTAATGAAATATAGTTATCTTTCTTCTTCTACCATGGACTTGGATCTTCTCTAGAATTCGGCATAAAAAAATTCAAGGTTTCCAACGACAACTTGCATTTTGTGAGGAAGATTCTTGGGAATTCGGTGGTTTTCATATTTTTTATGGCGGAGAGTGAGGCCAAGCTTGTGGAGAGGTTGATTGATCGAAAAACCAAGACGAAGGAGTAGCTTCATGGGAGGATGGCTAGGGAGGAGGTGAAACATGTTAAGAATTTTTATTATATTGCGGTGAATGCGGAGGGGAGGCCCTAACCCCAATATTGATTTTTAAAAAAATTGTTTTTATTTTTAAAGTAATTAAAAATCAAGGCAAATTTGTCTTTAAGAAAATGTTTCAAGGTGATGTCAGCCTTAAAAGGGTTATGTGAAAGCCAGTTAGAATCTCAGGGCGTTAGTGT